GCAAGCTTGTATTCTATGTCTGTGAGTCTGTTTCTTTTTTATATTTAAGTTCATTTGTCTTCTTTTTTTTTTAATTTAGATTCCACATATGAGCGATCTCATATGGTATTTTTCTTTCTCTTTCTGGCTTACTTCACTTAGAATGACATTCTCCAGGAACATCAGTGTTGCTGCAAATGGCATTAGGTTGTCTATTTTTATGGCTGAGTAGTATCCCATTGTATAAATATACCACAATGTCTTTATCCAGTCATCTGTCAATGGACATTTAGGCTGCTTCCATGTCTTGGCTGTTGTAAATAGTGCTGCTGTGAACATTGGGGTGCATGTATCTTTTGAACTAGGGCTCCTTCTGGATATATGCCCAGGAGCGGGATTCCTGGGTCATATGGTAAGTCTATTCCTAGTCTTTTGAGGAATCTCCATACTGTTTTCCAAAACACCTGCACCAACCTGCACTCCCACCAGCAGTGTAGGAGGGTTCCCTTTTCTCCACAGCCTCTCCAGCATTTGTCGTTTGTGGACTTTTGAATGATGGCCATTCTGGCTGGTGTGAGGTGATACCTCAGTGTGGTTTTGAATGTGCATTTTTAACCACTGGCTCTACTCTAGAGGCCAGGCTGCTGCTGTCTGCTCAGAAACCTGTTTCCCCGCAGGTCATAGGGTCATTTTACAAAGTCTGCCTGGGGGGGAGTTTTGTATTTTGGAGTAATTTCAGACTCATAGACGTTGCGGAACTGGTGGAGTTCCTAGCACCTTTCCCTGGCCCCCTTTCACAACAGCTTGTAACCACAGTGTGGCTTTCACACCAAAGAGGCCTGTCGGCACGGCCCTGCTGGGGTGTATGCACCCTGGGGGGCTCTGCAGTCAGAATACAGGACTGTCCTTCCCCTAGAGACTGCGACTGCCGTCGCATTGCACGTGTCCTGACCTGACAGTGGCAGCTTGTCCCCGCCCTCCCTAGGGCCCGTCACTGGGACAGTTGCAGAAATGGATCAGAAGCCTGTGTGGCCTTTCCCTCCAGCCTGGACCTACCCAAGTTGCACAAGCAACAGTTCCTTCCCTTCCCAGTGGCTCGTCACTCATCGCTGTGGGACAGATCCCTCTTGGGGCCCCTGTGGGCACTGCCATGACCCTCACACATGCCTCACGCCCCTGGGGTGCACGGCAGGTCTGGGGATGTGCGTCCCTGAGTCCGGGAGACGCTCATAGGCCCCTCGTCAGCACTTGGTGGGCCAGGTTTTTCATTCTTGCGGATCCAGTAGTGGGGGCATGGTATGGCGGGTTCACTGTCTGCACGTTCCCCTAATGACAGCTTCTCGTGTGCTTATCCGTGAAGCGGCTGTTCAGAACCTCTGCCCATTTTCTCATGAGATGGTCTGTTTTCTCACTGTTGAGTTTGAGTTTCCTTTTGGACAGAAGCCCTTCATTGGGTGTGTGGTTTGCTCATAATCTGTTTTCTCATAATCTGTGGCTTTTCTTTCATCTACTTAACAGAGTCACAGAGCAGAAGTTTCTAATTTCAATGAAATCCAACTGATTGATTTTTAAACAGATTGTGCTTTGCGTATCAGCATCTAAAGAGGCTTAACCTAACCCTGGGTTGCAAAGATTTTCTCCTAAAGATGTGGTTTTACATTGTACATTTAGAGCTGTGATTCATTTTAAGTTGATTTTTGCATAAGGAGCGAGGTTTAGATCAAGGCTTTCTTTTTTTTTCTTTTGCTTACAAATATCCAAATGTTTCCACACCATTTTTGTCGAGAATAGACTTTGCCAAAAATTGGTCGGCCACGCCTGCATGAGTCTCATCCCGGACTCGACTCTGCTCTGCCAACGTGTGTCACTTGGTGGCCATATGGTCGTGTCTGCTGTAGCTGCAAAGGAGGTTTGACATCAGTTCGTGTGATTCCTCCAACTTCATCCTTCGTTTTCAAATTGTTTTTGCCATTCTGGTTCCCTTGCCTTTTCCTCTGTATATTTTCTCAAGCATTGCGCAGTCCTTCAGTTCTGCGCAGACACTGACCAGGTGTCTTGCAGCGTCAGGGTCCCTGGTTAAGGGCTGGGCCCCCAGGGCTACCCCTCTTCAGGCCCAGTTGCAAGTCCTGGTCGTCACCTGTGCTTCTGACCCAATGGATCTCAGCTGGGGCCCCGCCACCATCCTCTGGTCAGTTAATTTGCTCAGACTGCTCACAGAGCTCAGCGAAGGGCTCGCTTGCAGGTGCCAGTGTGCTGCGACGGATTCAAGAGAGAATTTGGTGACAGCAAGCCGGGTGCGCAGGTGCACAGAAGGGTCCCCAGAGAATAAGCAGACCCCCCCCCCTCCCCTGCACTGCGCGGACTAGGGCTGCCCCCCACCGTGACCTTCGGGAGCAGTGGACCGTCATTCCTGCTGTCCAGTCTCTGGCTGCTCTGCCCTGGTCTACCCTCCTGGGTTCACACTGAGAAACCTCCTTCCCGCTTGACGCACCTCCGTCAGCACAGTGAGACCCTGGAGTGGAGGGAGTGCGCTAGCCCAGAATAATAACACAAAGTTTGTCAGAACCGAAGATGAGGGCGCCAGATTCAAAGGGCCCTGGGTTTCCAGCCCAGGGGTGAGAGAAGACCCCCACGGTCAAGAGAGGACAGCAGGAACACCCGTGGTGTCGAATTTCCCAGCAGCCGCAGGGGGTCTGTGAGACCCTGGGACAGATTTCAGAGTCTCACAGAAACGGTTTTGAATGTTGAGCTCTATGCCTGCCCAAAGCGTCAGTCCTGTGACGCTACCGCAAGGACTCCTTTGTGTGAGGATTCAAACTACTTCCCTCCTACGGAAGCTTTCTCAGAAATTTACTGGAAGACACATCGTAAAATTAGGAAGCAAACTGAGGGGGAGGACGTTTCAGGACCTGGGAGCAGGTCTCCTACCGGGGAGGGGGCCAAGGGATGCCAGGGGCGTGGGGAGGGGTAGCGTCTGTGGGAAGAGAAGTGCTTCACCCAGCAGCACGCACCTGCTTTTCTTAGACGGTGGAAATGCCAGGTGGGGAGCAAGGGAAACCACGGAACGGCCGGTGTCCAAGGGGTGTGACAGGAGCCGTGTGACACGTCACCCAGAAGCTATGATGACCAAGAAGCGAAAGGCGCCAGGAGTGGAGACGAGGGAGCCCTGGGCGGGAACCTCTGGACGTGGAAAGGTGGAGAAACGCTGAAGCAGCTGAAGTACCAGAGGTTCACATGTTTATGCCGATCGTTACCTGGGATGTCCCTCTGCCTCCTCCCCCGACTGCACACTCGTCCCCTGGTCTCTGTGTCCGGGGCCGCCGGCTTGCCCTGGGTACCGAGGCTAGACCTGGTGGGTGGCCACAGGGTCCTGTCCTGTCCACACAAGTGTTTGTCTTCCCTGGTTACTCTGGTCACCCCTCCCCTAACGAGAGCGGCCCGACTACCTCCCCTGTATTTGCTGTTACACATAACAATTTCTTTAAAAAAATAGAACAAAGAAAACTTTTTAAAAATGGAAACATTTCAAGTATACAGAAGTACAGAGAATACATCACACGTCCCACCCTGCTGCAGTGCGTGCCTGTGGGGGTCCCGCTCACCACCGGTCCCGTGCTCACCTGGGCCTCGCGTCCTGCCTTGTTGGACAGTGAGCCCAGGACCCTCTTAGGTTCTGCTATTCGAACATCCAGGGCGCCCTGCCTGGTCCTCAATCACGCAGGACCTGCAGGCCGTCGGGGCAGCTGAAGCTTCTCCACGGCCAAATGTTTGCTTTTGGCATCACTTTGCTCAGTTTACACCCCAGGCGGTCACCTCCTTGGCCAGCAGCCCCATTCCGGTGCGTCGGTCTCAGTCAGCAGCACCACCTCCCTGCTTCCTGCCCACCTTTGGCCACCCCTCCCCAAACGCAGCTGAGAAAAGTGCGACCTGGGTGATGGGCGGCTTGGGGATGCCACATGGTCCCCTCAGTTGACAAGGATGTGGGAGAAACCGGAGAGTGAATAGGATGGTCTTGAGCAGCTGAGAGCCAGGGTGGGGAGGCGGGTGTCCCCTGGGGACAGCTGGGTGGAGGCGAGAGGGCAGCTTGCCCTGCGAGGTCAGAGCTGCGGGCGGTGCTTGGTTGGAGGGGCACAGAGGCGGGAGGCCCCAGAAGGCTCTCAGGAGGTGGAGGGCTCAGGCCACGATGCAGGTCAGCGGCAGCTCCATGAAGAAAGCGCTGGTGTCTTGCTGCCGAGTCCGTGCTGGAGTAGATGCCCCGACTGGTCGCTGCCCTGGAGGCGCCGCTTTCTCAGCCACATTACCTCTCCAGCTCAGTTTCACTGTTGGTAAAATGTGAGGGTTTAACAGACGCCCAGACTCTGAGGCCGACCATCTGTAACCCACACACGTTTGAAGACATTAGCAAAACTCTGCAGGTAGCTTTCAGCCGATTTAGAGGACGGGGCGTGCAGTGGGTTTGTGGTCACAGGGGTCCTCTCCTCCCATGCGCCCCGGACCCGACCCCGCATCTGCTCAGTAGTAGCTGCTGTGGAAGGACCTGGCCATCCAAGCCATGTCACCACAGCCAGGGTGTCAGAGGTCACCCGGTCCTACCCTGGGAACGGCGGCCCACACACTTGTCTCACTGTGTCTGCCCTTCACCACTCAGTGCTTCTTACCCACTTCCAGCCACTACGTTCATGAAAGTTAGAAAGTGCCTGTTTTGAAACAGATTAACCTGTACTGTTTTTCTTCATTTTCTCATTTGAAAGGAGAGTGTATCCTAAGGGGGCATCTGAGCTGTAGATCCATGTAAATTAGCAACTTTTACCACCACATTAGAAAGTGCTTGCTTACCAGCTTTCTCTAAAACATACTGCTGAGAAAGGAAGTTTTATTACTGCCTGCATCTTTATTAAATCCAGCAGCCACAGGTTTTGGGTTTCACATCAAAGTTTATTCTTGTTGCCATGTGAGTGTTAAAATGTCAGAACACTGGAAAATTTGTTATCTGTCTAAAGATAGTCTTCCAACAAATTAGAATTAGAAGTAAGGATAATAAACCACAGGAATCTGGAAATGAGTCATGTAAACTTTGCTCTTTTTCTCCAAGAATTCACAACACTTCCTGGTAAGATATAGCTAATGAGGCCTGTAAATTTCATTAAATGCTTCATTTTCTCTCATTAAGTCATGGGCTGCTTCTTTGTAAATACAAGCGGAGCTCATTTTGGTCTATAACTCTTGCACCAGAAGCGTTTGGAAGCATCCTTCCTATCCATACACGTTTTCCAGGTGCCTCGGGAGGGTGGACCCCACAGGACAGAGCATGGCCAGGCGCTTATGGAATTCCAGTTGGTTCTGTGTGGCAAAGTAAGGGGAGAGCCCAAAAACCAACTCCCTGGTCCCCGGAGAGCATGGACCTGGGCCTCGCCTGGAATCCCTCTCTTTTTAACAATGTTCTGATGATTCACTTGGTGACACATCAGAACCAGAAGAGGGCGTGACAACCTGCGAGCAAAAGAGGAGAAAAAATTGATGAAAAGGGGGGGCGTCTCCAGGGAGAGGGGCTTCCAGAGTGTTGGCTGGCGGCTGGCGGCTGGCAGGCTGTGTTCCCGGCTGTGTTGGGGCGGTGGCGGGCAGACACCGCGGGTCCCTCCCTCCCTCCCGGCGGCCCATTGCGCCCTCTGCCGCCTGCCTTGCCGACATCTACCCAAACATGTACCAGCGCGGAGCACAGCAGTGAAAGCCTTTGCTGTGCACCTGCCTGCCTTGGGGTCGGGGAGCTGGCAGTTTCTGTGCCTCGTTAATCATTGCCCCTGCTGCGGTGGGTGGGGCAGAGGGGAGACGTGGGCTTCTTCCAGGTTTCAGTTACCAGAGAAGCAGTTTTTGTGTCAATTGAAGGCCATGCCCCTGCTCGCGGTTACATTGGGCGAGGGTGGGGAG